CTGTCAAATAAGTAAATAAAATCTTTAAAGAAAAAAAAAACAACAAGCCGCTTGGTCCTCATGGACCTTATCATCTACTTTCCTCTCTTGAGTCACCCTCCCCCCCCTTCCTCATGCTTAGATAAGGGGAAAACAAACTACTATTGAGCGATAGAAGAATCAGACGGCCCTACCTTGTGAAAGGCAACGCAGAATCTGTTGAAGCACACATTCTGAAAACAAACACAGCCGCCAACTTCAACACCCTCCTCTACACTAATCTGAACAGCCCCTATTGTCAAAAATGACCTGGAGGTGGGGAGGGTATGAACCTGAAGTGAGTGACTTAGATTCAACTCCTACTTCTATTTGGTCCATGACCTTGGGAGTTTGTTCTGACCCTCATCCATAAAAAGGGCTATGTCCCATAGCAAGAAATGCAAAGTCACACGCTGACAGGGGCCAAGCAATTATGCCAAATGAGTGAAGTTGAACTGATAGGGAGGATCCCTAGAGAGAATGCTGTGCCACATCAGAGGCAGTCCCTACTTAGCTCCAACCAATGTGGAAGGTCTGACTTTTCTATTCTTCAAGAGAAGACGGAAATCAGAAATTGCCAGACTGGGGCATGAGGCTGGGGTGCGGTGGGAGGGAAGAGATTCACATTTCTTTACCAACTTTATTTTTTTTTTTAAGATTTTACTTATTTAGGGGCACCTGTGTGGCTCAGTGGGTTAAGCCTCTGCCTTCGGCTCAGGTCATGGTCTCAGAGTCCTGGGATCGAGCCCCGCATTGGGCTCTGTTCAGCAGGGAGTCTGCTTCTCTCTCTCTCTCTCTCCCCCTCTGCCTACTTGTGCTTTCTCTCTGTCAAATAAATAAATAAAATCTTAAAAAAAAAAAAAGATTTTACTTATTTATTCGACAGAGACACAGCGAGAGAGGGAACACAAGCAGGGGAAGCGGGAGAGGAAGAAACAGGACTCCCACTAAGCAGGGACCCCAATGCAGGGCTTGATACCGAGACCCTGGGATCATGACCCAACCCGAAAGGCAGCCCAGACGCCCCCCTTTTCCCAACTTCCCATGATAAAAACTTGAAACACACAGAAAATAAAAAGAATAGTTAGCATTCTGCTAGAATGTGCTATCTCTAGATGTGCTATTACCACATCTAGAAAATAATTCTCAAATATCACCTAATAGGACTGACTTTTCAAATTTCCACTACTGTCTAAGATGCTTCTTCACGGGTTTTCTTTTTGAACCAGGATCCAGTCAAGGTTTACATCTTACATGTGGCTTCACCTCTTTATGCTTTTTTTTTTTTTTAATATTTTTATTTATTTATTTAACAGACAGAGATCACAGATAGGCAGAGAGGCAGGCAGAGAGAGAGGAGGAAGCAGGCTCCCCGCTGAGCAGAGAGCCCGATGCGGGGCTCGATCCCAGGATCCTGGGATCACGACCTGAGCCGAAGGCAGAGGCTTTAACCCACTGAGCCACCCAGGCGCCCCTCTTCATGCTCTTTTAATCTAGAACACTCCCTCCCCTTGTTTTTTCCATGACATTGACTTCTGGAATAGGACCAGGGCAGTTGTCTTGCAAAATGTCCTACATCCTAGACATCTAATCATGACCTCAGTGTTCTTTAATTTGTTCCTCTGCTCTCTGAAAGCATGATTAGGCTAAAATATAGTCAACAGGAAAACTTCAAGGTGACACACTGAAGTTCTTACTTCACAGAAAGCACATTATTAATAATCACTTCCAAAGACAACAAACTCGCTTTTCTTTGTTTGAATATTTCCTTGGCCTTATGGATTCTAAATGATTAAGTATTATTAAGTCCATCTCTCTCTCTCTCTTTCTCTCTCCTTCCTTCCTTCTTTTGACTTGATTTTTAAAAGTCATCTCTACATCTAACTTGGGGCTTGAACTCAGAACCCCAGTATCAAGAGTGTCAATGCTCCACTAACTAAGCCAGCCAGGCACCCCAATTTTTTCCTTCTGATGCTCAAATGGTCTCAAATGTGGCCAATTCTCTAAACTTTTAAATGTTGGCAACTAATTTCAAAAACTTTAAAACAGTGTCTGAAAGATACCACCCAGTTTTTAACCTCTAGACCATTACTCTCCTTTCCAGTTCTGATCACCTAGGTCCAATATCACCCAGAATCAGCAACAAAATGTTGCCAGAACACAATCGGCTGATTCCTAGGCCACCTTCCATTTTACAAAAGAACCCCAGACTCCAGAGTTCTCCTATTCCATCTGGAGTTTCCTTAGAGGCAAGTCAATCTGCTTTGTGGAGCCTCTTTCCTGTCTGTACAGGGGAAATCACTACCCTTCCTACTTCAGAGCTGACAGGAGCTGATGGACATGAAGGCACTTTCACAAACTCTCCAAGACTGTCTATAAATACAGATATCCAAAATAGTGATAACCCCTTCCTTCCCTCCCAGGACCCTCAATCAATCCTCTTCAGGTTCTGCACTGAGTTCGGTACCTCTCCACTCCCTCAGAATAACTCCCATTTCCCAAGAATTCCATACCCTGACTGATTTGTCCCGTAGGCCATCTCCTCTTCAGCAGCTCCCATCCATCCTTCACTGCTCCTCAGAGGAATCATTCCTGACAGTTCTCTCACTACATTCCAGCTTCATCTTCACCAACTTCGCCCTACCTTAAAACTACCTGCTGCCCCCGCCCTTTCCATGAGCCCTTCTAAGACACTTAGGATCTCTTTCCCAACCTTTTTGGTTTTTTGGACCTCCTAACACTCAAACCTACTTCAAATATCAGTCCCTAAAACCAATCAGCCCCACCTATAATCCTCAAGCCCATTTCCACCACTTAATTCCCAATATTCCACTTTAGATCCCTTGGATCCTCAGACCAGTGCTTGCTGATGCCTCACAATGCCCCCTCCCCCCAACCGCATAAAACCCCACACATCTGAAATGAGCGTGAAAACTCAGTTGGCCCCACTTCACTCCCCACACACACACTTTCTCTTTCACCAAAAAATTCTAGAAACTCCCACCTCTCAAGCTAAATTCTCTCCACCTGCCTGCCTCCTTACCCTAGATCAATTAACTCTATACTCTGGACTCACATCACATACCTCCCAACCAATCAGACCTCAACTCTGAACTCAACCATTCATGTACTTCTACCTAGACATAAATAACCACCTAAAACCTAAGTCCTGGGGTGCCTGCATGGCTCAGTCGGTTAGGCATCTGCCTTCAGATTGGATCATGATCCCAGAGTCCTGGGCTCGAGCCCAGCATCTGGCTCCTTGCTCAGTGGGGAGCCTGCTTCTCCCTCTCCCTCTGCAGGCTATTTCCCCTGCTTGTGCGCTCGCTCTCTCTATATCAAATAAATATTTTTAAAAATAAATAAATAAAGTAAAATAAAATCTAAGTCCAAAAGAGAACAATTGCTTCTTCACTTACCCCACCATCTCAGTCAATAAATGGCAATTCCGTATTTCCAGCTGCCCAAAGAAACCTTAAAGCCATCCTTGAGTTGTGCCTCTCGGACCTCACACACTGACTGTATCCTTCGGCAAATCCCGTCCCCTCCCCCGCCTTGAAAATATATTCAAATATATATTTGTCCCCTTCTCTAGAGCCCCAAGAGCGATCCTTTTAAAATGCAAACCCGATGGGGCGCCTGGGTGGCCCAGCGGGTTAAGCCGCTGCCTTTGGCTCAAGTCATGATCTCAGGGTCCTGGGATCGAGCCCCACATCAGGCTCTCTACTTGGCAGGGAGCCTGCTTCCTCTTCTCTCTCTGCCTGCCTACTTGTGATCGCTCTCTGTGAAATAAATAAATAAAATCTTTAAAAATAAAATAAAATGCGAACCTGATCGCTTTACTCCTAGACTCAAACTCTCCAGGAGGTTTCTCAGAACACTGGAAATAAAAAAGCTACTCCTCATTTCGTTCCACCACCTTGCTTCTTTCTCTCCTTTGCCAAGCAAGCTCCGGCCCCCAGGATTGTACACCAGCTGTTTTCTCTCTACACGGCTCTTTTTCCTTCAGAGGTCTGAGGCTCAATGTTACCTCTTCAGAGGCCTTCCCTGGCCTACCAAAACAGCTCTCCCACCTCAGCACCCTTTATTGACCCTGGTGTGAGGGTCAATACTCTACGGTTTTCCTCTCCCTGGCACTTGCATTACCTATTATATTATTTACGTTTATTGTTTCCCCCACCAGAATGTACCCCCCATGCGGGCAAGAAGTCCATCCAGTTCACTAATATATGCTCAGCGCCTAGAAAAGTACTTCTGGCAGGTGCTCAATGAATATCTGATTAAATTGATCAACTCTTGCAAAGACCTCATACCTCCCCCCCCCATAACTATTAAGTACCCAAGGTAACCCCAACCCTAGTGCCCAGTCCTCTCTGGACACACCCGCGTTCCTAGGAATAAGCAACCTCTTCGGGTGCTCCAGACCTTAGGCTCTCCGGGTCTCTCAAGATTCTCAGTAGAAATAACTTGCTCCAAAACTCCTCAAAAAACATTCATTCTTTCCAACTGGCCCATCCTTTCGAAGCCACAAGAACGTAAGCTCGCCCGTGCTCGGTGGGCAGTCTCCCCAGCGTCCAGCAGAGAACAGGTTCCCACAACCTCCTAATGAATGAACTACGCCCCCACTTCATCCTTCCCTTGCACCCTCCTACTCCCCAAGCGCTCACCACCACCACTCCCTTCGGGCGTCTGCGTCCCTGAGTTTGAGTCTTCCTGATCCCTCAGGACTCCCCCACCGCCGCTTCCAGAGGCTTCCCTCGGAACGACCCTCCCCACCACCCTGAGAGGCCCCCGCTTCCCACATCTTCCAGAAACACCTCTAACCAACCCCTCCAGTTCTCTCAAGAAGGCCACCCTCCCCGGGGACGTAACTCCCGCCTCCTCGCTTCAAATCAGATCCTCCGGCTCCGTGAGGGCCGCGAACGCCTCAGGCCAGACGCCCCCTCCAGACCCTCAGCCCCACAGGCCGCTCTAGCCCTGACCGTTTTTGGGCCTCCAATCCCCACAGACGAATCTGCCGGTCATACTGCGCCGCCTCCTCCTCGCTGATGCCGCCACCAGCCTCCTCCTTCTCCACCATGGCGCCGGCTCTAGCTGCCTGCACTCGGGTCCTGCCCACAGCAACCACCCGCCGGCCCCACGCGCCGCCAACCGCCGCCGGCCGCGCGCCCGGGCCGTCTCTGCGCCTGCGCCAGGCTCCGCGCCTGCGCAGAACCTCCTCCACGGCCCGCCCCGCCCCTAGAGCCCGGGACCACGTGGACCTCCCTAGCCTCAAAGGCGGGCCAGAGGGACTGTCAGTCACGTGATGGGGCTCCAGCCAGTCCTGGCCCCAAAATGGAGCGGTTTAACAACCCGAGACGACAGATACGCAAATGTAGCTTTATGGGGCTATTAATTCCGCAAATATTTATCTAGCACCTGCTGAAATCCCAGCATTGGGGGTGTTTTGAAATAGAGCAGCGAATAAAATAGACAAAGCCCTGTATTCATGGAGCTTACGTTCTGTTGAGGGGAGCCCAAAGAAGAATGGAAATCAGGCCGTGATAAATGCTGAGAAGGAAAATAAAGGCGGATATGGACCTTCAGGGTTGCAGGAGTGGCCAGAGAGAAGGTCTCTCAGAGAAAGTGATACTGAATAAAGATCTGAAGGGACCGAATAAACAAGGATAACTAGGAGGTGGAGCATTTCCAGTCAGGGCAAAGAGCACGTGCAAAGGCCCTGAAGCTGGAATGTGCTAGCATAGACGAGGAACTATGGAGAGGGCAAGGTGTCTGGAGCAGAGTGAGAGGAAGGACAGGTTGTAAGAGGTGAAATCGTAGATGAAGCAAGTGGTACATCCAATAGGGCCTTGTAGGCTAGTATTAGCTTCTATCTATTTTCCTCAGGCAGTCTTTTTATTATCCATTCAACAAATACTTACTGAGCATTTGTTATGTGTCAACGATTGATCTCAGTGCTAGGCTCGGTAGAGCCCTGTAAAAAAGAAGTAACTTCTTTCCCACAGAGTTAAAATGAGCTTTGCCTGAGTTCTTTCTCTAATCCTTATGAGATGACTTAGGTTTGTTTTGGTTTTTTTTTTTTAAGATTTTATTTATTCGACAGACAGAGATCTCAAGTAGAGGCAGAGGCAGGCAGAGAGAGAGATAGGAGGAAGCAGCCTCCCCACCTAGCAGAGAGAGCCTGACAGGGGCCTCTGGGACCATGACCTGAGCAGAAGGCAGAGCTTTAACCCACTGAGTCACCCAGGTGTCCCTAGAATTTTTTTATGTTTTGTTTTTTAATGTTTTTTTTAAGATTTTATTCATTTATTTGACAGAGATCAGAAGTAGGCAGAGAGGCAGGCATAGGGAGGGAGGAGGAAGCAGGCTCCCTGCTGAGCAGAGAGCCCGATGGGGGCTCGATTCCAGGACCCTGGGATCATGACCTGAGCTGAAGAGAGAGGCTCTAACCCACTGAGCTACACAGGCGCCCCCCCCCCACCCCTAGGTTTTTTGTTACTACTATTTGACAGCTGAGGGGTCTAAGGTCCAGGAAAGTTAAATATTAGCAGCCTGAACTAAGTCTTACCTTAGAAGTAGTGAAACTGGGATTCAAACCCAGGTGGTGTGGCTCACATGCTTCATCAGGAGGTATATTAAGCTTCTACCATGTGCTCCGATCTTGCCCCTGAGGTACATAGTCTATGAACCTCAGAGATGGATATTTCATCCCCTTTTACAGACCACAACTCTGGGGCTCAGAAAGGGGTAGGAATTCATCCAAGATCACAATATCACTCAAAAAAAAAAAAAAAAGTTTGGCTAATGCTTACTCTTGGTTATAGATGTGGAACAAATCATGTAAAAAATTAGAGACTTAACAATAAATAGTTATTACCTCTTGGTTTCTGTGGGTTTGGGATTCAGAGCAGCTTATCTGGGCTGTTTTGGCACAAGGTCTTTCATGAGCATGGGGTCAGCTGGGGCTACAGTGATCTGATGGCTTGTGATGAAAGATCCCTTTCCGGGTGACTCACTCCTTATGGCTGGCAAGTTGACGTGGGCTGACGGCTGGGGGCCTCAGTTCCACTCCACATGGGCACAACCACCAGGCTTTCGGAATGTCCTCATGACATGGGGGCTGGCTTCCCCCAAACTGAGTGATCCATGAGAGCAAGGTGAAAGCAGCAATGTCTTTTTTTTTTTTTTAACATTTCATTTATTTATTTGGGAGAGAGCATGAGCGGGGGGAGCGGCAGAGGAAGAAGCCGACTCTGCGGAGCAGGGAGCCCAGTGCTGGACTGGACCCCAGGATCCCGGATCATGACCTGAGCCGATAGCAGACACTTACCAAATGAGGCTCCCCATCAATGTCTTTTATAACTCAGCTTTGGAAGTCACACACTGCCACTTCTGTAAAATCCCATGGATCATACACAGTTGTATTTATTGTAGGAGAGGACAATACAAGGACATGAATATGGTGAACAAAAGAAACATGGATCCGCCCTGTGTTGCGCTGACCAGCTAATAAGGAAGACAGGAAGTATTTTACCAGCAAAGGGTTTATTCACTAAACAGTTTTGAAAAATATCTGCTGTATCCCTGCCATGTATTTGACTTTGTGCCAGGCCCTAGGGATACAATAATGATAAAAATGGACATACCTCTGCTTTAGAGACAGTCAATCCAGTGGGAGAGATAAAACAGCCACATAAATATTAATAGAAACTTTGTGAAGTGCTGTGAAGGAAAAGATGAAAGAGCTGTGACAGTGTTTGACTTCGTGCTGGAGTCAGAAAAAGGATATTCTGAGAATGTAAACTTTCTGCTGAGCTTTACAGAGTCAATAAAGTTCAAATAACAAAACATGGGAAGAACCCCAGGCGGGAAGGACGGCTGCACCTGCTGTGACCCAGAATTTAAGCTCATTCGCTCTCTCTCTCTCTTTTTCTAATGATTTTATTTATTTATCTGAGAGAGAAAGACAAGGAGGGGGCCCAGACGGAAAGGGAGAAGCAGGCTGCCCCCTGGGGAGGGAGCCCATAGAGGGGCTCAATCCCAGGACCTCAGGATCATGACCTGAGCCAAAGGCGGACACTTAACTGCTTAACCGACTAAGCCACCTAGGCACCTCTCATTCTTCCTGACTCTGCCTCCCTGAGGGTATCTCCTTGACCCTTACTCCTCCACCCCACACACTCTGTGGGAGGTTTAAAACAGACCCGCAAATCTGGGGTACCTGGCTGGCTCAGTTGGTAGAGCATGCGGCTCTTGATCTGGAGGTCATGAGTTCAAGCCCCACATTGTGCCTCAAGCTTACTGAAAAAATAAAAAATAAAATATGCCCACAAATCCTTTGATATTCTTCAATCCTTTGATATTCTTCAACGATATTGAGTTGGGGGGACCAAAATCCCCGTCCTTGAATCTGTACTCTGTGATGGCTTGGAAGGAAGCAAACGCTGATCCAATTTCTCCATCCAGGCCTTAAGAAACATGCAGCTTGGGGTGCCTGGGTGGTTCAGTCAATTAAGCATCTGCCTTTGGCTTGGGTCATGATCCCAGGGTCCTGGGATTGTGTCCCTCATTGGGCTCCTTGATCAGTGGGGAGCCTGCTTCTCCCTCTGCCTGCCTCTCCCTCCCATGGTTCTTTCTCTCTGGCAAATAAATAAATTAACATCTTTCAAAAAAAGAAAAGAAAGAAATGAGATCATGAATGATTTTTTTAAAAATACTGACAATCTATAAAGATTTTATTTATTTGACAGAGATCACAAGCAGGCAGTGAGGCAGGCAGAGGGAGAGGAGGAAGCAGGCTCCCTGCTGAGCAGAGAGCCCGGTGCAGGGCTCGATCCCAGGACCCTGATCCTAGGACCCTGATCCCAGGACCTGAGCCTAAGGCAGAGGCTCAACCCACTGAGCCACCCAGGAGCCGCTGTAATTTCTTTGTTAATTACAGTATATGACCGTTGTACTTTGAGGCAAATAGAGAACACAAAAAATCAGGATCCTGACAGCTAAAGGAACAAGTCCAGAGCAAACATCACTTTGCTTAGAATGATTTGAGGTTCTCTTTGAAATGAACATGTCTGGGAGGCACATGTCTCTTCAAATCTGTACTGTTTCTTCCAAACATTTCTTGGTCCCCAGCAAAGGCCCTTTCCTAACTCCTTTCCTGATCTCTAATCCAGCCTCCAACCACGACCTTACCCCTTACCTTTTTTTTTTTTTTAAGATTTTAATTTTTTTTTTTAAAGATTTTATTTATTTATTTGACAGACAAAGATCACAAGTAGGCAGAGAGGCAGGCAGAGAGAGAGAGGAGGAAGCAGGCTCCCCGCTGAGCAGAGAGCCCGACGTGGGGCTCAATCCCAGGACCCTGGGATCATGACCTGAGCCAAAGGCAGAGGCTTTAACCCACTGAGCCACCCAGGCGCCCCAAGATTTTAATTTTTTGACAGGGAGAGACACAGTGAGAGAGAGAACACAAGCAGGGGGAGAGGGAGGGGGAGAAGCAGGCTTCCCGCTGAGCAGGGAGCCCGAAGGGAGCCACTTAACGACTGAGCCACCCAGCCACCCCTATAACTTTTTTTTAAAACACAAATCTTTTTTTAAGTAAATTCTACAGGAAACACGGGGCCCTGAGATCAAGAGTGGCAGGCTCTACCAACTGACCCACCCGGGTGTCCCAGAGATTTTTATTTTGAAGATTTTTTTTTTTTTAAAGATTTTATTTATTTATTTGTCAGAGACAGAGGGAGAGAGAGTGAGCAAGCACAGGCAGACAGAGAGGCAGGCAGAGGCAGAGGGAGAAGCAGGCTCCCCGCCGAGCAAGGAGCCCGATGTGGGACTCGATCCCAGGACGCTGGGATCATGACCTGAGCCGAAGGCAGCCGCTTAACCAACTGAGCCACCCAGGCGTCCCTATTTTGAAGATTTTTAAGCTTACAGAAAAACAGCCCAATGAATATTCATACATCCTTTGTCTAGATTCATTAATTTGAAGTTTTGGCACATCCTCTCTGTCTATCTGTCTGTCTCTCTCTCTCTCTCACACACACACACACACACACACACACACATTTTTTGACTAAACAACTTCACAGTCACTCCAGGTCTTTAAATCAATGCAGGGAAAAACCGGGGCACCTGGATGGCTCAGTCAGTTAAGCGTCTGCCTTTGGCTCTGGTCATG